CACACACACACACACACACACACACACACACACACACACATTCATTTTTATATATATAGATAGTATATATTAATTAACTAATTAATAATTATATATTTTGGACCTAAGGTTTTTAGGGTTTATAAAAAAAATTTTTTTGGTTAAAATCTTTCTATAAAATCATGCCAAAATATTACGTAAGATAGGGAAGGGGAGGGGAGATCAAAGAAAATATTACAATTTCTTACACAGGGATGGGTGGGGGTCTAGAATGGCCAAAATCGCCCTTACGTAATTTATGAACGGCCCCTTAGAGGTATGAAGGAGTACTGTACATGTCAGGAGTTGCAATATAGCACAGAATATTAAGTGCTCAAATCATGCGCGCATAAAAAACCAGACGATGCATCCAACGATCTGATGAAGTATATGACTAAGGTGGCAATCTCCCTGGATTTAATTTATAACGTTAAATCTGCAACTTCTAAAAGGCATACAACGAATGCATGGTATGATAGCGAGTGTTACTCCATGAGGAAAAAAATCTATGAAAATTGTTTAAGAAAATGAAAAAATTAAATATGGATGAATGTTATGTTTCGTATAAAAATTATTTAAAAGAATATAAATTATTATGTCAATAGAAAAAAAGTCTTATTTTTGGAACTTAAAATAGCAGATTGGTGACATGAAATAACTAAAATATTCTGGCAAATAATTAATAGTTTTAAATGTAAAAGTTCATTGGGTAATTCAAGAATTCTTTTGGAAAGATGGTTCAATTATGCTATTAAATTCTCTAAAGAACATTCTTTACTTATTAATAACGAACAATTGTCGATGGATGTGTCTATATAGTGTTTCCAATAGAAACGGAATGTTTTTTCAGATTTTACACTGGAGGAACTAAAAGGAGCTATTAACCGTTTTAAATCTGGTATCTCACATGGAATTGATTTTATTAAAACAGAATATTAAAGTTTTGAAGCTTTAGAAGACTTACATAAAATATGAAAAATTTTTACGTCTATTTCTTTTTATCCTTTTCACAGACTTTAGAAAACATTTATATTTTTATGTAAGTCTTCTAAAGCTTTAAATGAAGATAATCCTGGATGATGATGTCTTTATGCAAAGAATATTAAAGTATTTTTCAGAAAACTTTCTTCTTACAACATTGGAAGTTTATAACTCTATTAAAAGAAATTTTACTTTCCTGGAAAAATGAATCGAATCTTTCATTATTCTAATACAGTATATAAAAAAGGCAATATGTATGACCACAAAAATTATCAGCCTGTCTGTAATTGGTAAACTATTTACGTTCTTATTAAATAAAAGATTAGAAGATTGGATTATTAAATATGATATTTTGTGTCAACAGCAAGCAGGTTTTCGACCTGGCCGATCCTGTCAAGACCAAATATTTCTAATAAATGCATTGTACCTGGGGTTATTATTTTCGTCTTCTGGAGTTTTACAGGCTAAATTATAGTATTCGTAAAGCTAAAATGGCACTGGATTTTATGTAGCCTATTCTTTTAAAAGCTAAAATTAATTCTGCTCGTATTTATATAAAACTAGCTTACCCGTCGCGCATTGCTGCGATCTCAGAAGAAACGAAATTCAAGCAAACTCGTTATGATAAAACTAAATTTACATTTTATCATTTTTATTGAAACTTATTATTATTCATTTTCATTGGGAAAACGTTTCAAAGTATCGTTTCAATTCTATTTATTTATTGGAGTGCTTGTGGATACACGATATTTATTGTTTTTCCGTCTGGTGCGTACACTAATAAATCAGAAGGTTTTTCGACGCATGAGCTGGCCACATACAGTTGTTCTGTAAAGTTGTCCACATACAGTTGTCCACATACAGCCAGGAGGACGGATTCTCCAAATTTAGCCCACACACTTGCAGCGATTGTCAGAAGTGCGATATTTCCCATTCTTATATATATATTTTTAATCCTTTACAATTTTAATTATTTAATTGCTCCTTCCTCTCTTCCTTGGCGTGTTGTGAAATTTTTGATAGTTGGATAATAAACCGTTTTATTGTAAATTGTCTTTTTAAATTATTTTGAGTCGATATTAAAATTTGGAAAAGGGGGATTCCTAGATCGGTAAAATAGGCAAATTTCCTCCTACAACTTCGGTTGTTGTTCGGGGTACAGTTAAGGTTTTAACGAAGTTCGAGCGAATACATAATTAGCAAAAAAAAAAGTTGAAATAAAGTGATTAAACAAAAATTATTACAAATATCGTAAATAACAGTTCGCAAATGCATATATGGAGATATTTTTTGGAGGGGAGAAATGGTCTTCAATTTGAAATCGATCGTAATCACGATGCTCGTATACACTCGCGCCATCTATCGTAGGATAAATGTACTATGCCAGAAACCTTCACGGGAGTATATTAAACAACTTCCCAAAGTTTCGTGGCAATCGGATAAACGGTGTGATAATGCATGAAGGACATACAGACATACATTCATTTTTATATATATAGATTATTTCACTCAATGATTTAATCTGTAGTATTTTATGCAGGTCCTGTATGGGCAATTACTTATCACGATAAAATGGAAATTGTTCTTGCTTTATATCTTCGAAGAATCTTTATGTTATACCATAAAATTCCAGCTTATATGTTTGGTGTTTCTAGAATATCGGTATTAATAATAAAAGCAATAGTTTCTTTCTGGATTAGACTGTTGAAACTACATGATAACAGTTATGTTAAAGTGTATAAATTATGTTTAATGACGGATAATAATACATATAACTCGTATTGGCATTGAAAAATTTGTTAGATCGACACAGTTTCTCATTTTTATGATTGTCCCAAGCTCCTCATTTGATCGAAAGTTATCAAACAATACTTCTAAAGGTGTGTTGCGAACAGAGCATACAAGATTGGTCGTTATTGGAAAAGAACAAGCATTTTCAATTATATCGTATTTTTAAAACAACTTATATATGTGAGGATTATTTGTTTATGGTAGGGGGTCCCCAAATTGGTCGATATCGACCCCTTGGGGTCGATAAGAGGTCTCCAGGGGTCGATTAATACACGAGGGTCGAAAGGGGGTCGATTTCAACCCTTTACCATCGCCATCTTGTTTACGTTTATTTCGTAAACTGTCCAACGGCAATATAGGTCAGTCAGGCGATATTATTTTAAAAAATTCACCAAAAATCAAATTATCATTATGTTCATATGATAAAATCACGTACATTTATTAATATCTTTAGTTTAATAGTTTAGAATAATTATAATTCCTTCCAATTCTAAATATCTATTGTTAGCAAAAGGCGGTGTCGGGATGGAATCGTCTGGACGTACGTTTCCCGCGNACTGTGAGGTGACGTCACAATTCTGAGTGCGATCACTCCCCTCATTTACATACTTATCGCTAACAATAAAATTTTTACTAATTGTCTGGCAGCCTATTTTCCGAAAATACTCGCTAACCTTTTCCATTATTCTTTTTGACAATTTTCGAGATGTTTATTCTTTTAAGGTTTAGCGAGTTTTTAATTTGTGCTTGTGGGGTCTCCCCCTTTCTCAGTGCGGACTTACCTTTTTCCGCTCAGAAGCGCAAATGTGCGCGAGTTTTTTCTATGGCGCTTTTCTCTCGTCGGTGAGTTGGTTTCTCTTCTATTTTTAAGTTTCTAGGGTGAATGGTGAGGAAACCTTTGTCCCAACAAAACATAAGCCCCAAACAAAAATAGAATAATAAGCAAAATAAAAATTAAATAAAAATAATGCTTGGACTTGGTTCCTTACATAATGTCTTTATTTTTCACGATTGTCGATATCGTGGTTCTTGGAATATGGTACGCAACAGTTAAAATCTCGAACACGCATGCCACCTTCATATTTCTCAACAATCTCTTTTTTCAGTTCCATTGTGATTCTAGTCATCTTTTTAGTTTTCTGTTGCTTTTCATTAGCCTATTTGCAATTCATGATCAATACAATAATAAAATTTTACTTACAAATTAAAATCAGAAGAAATTTAACAAAGTTATAAACTGTGTCACCGCAAACGTCTAGTCTGGTCTAGTACACCGATAGTGCTACTTGTTCATAGATGGTGCGTATAATTGAATTAAGTCGTATACCGAGCAAAATTTGTTTCGTCCAAACAGTACGTATACCAAATTGGACGTATTCTAAGGCAGACGTATACTGAGGTACCAGTGTATTAAAAAGATATTACTTACTGATATCCAGGTGAACCACATCCATCTCTGTAATCTTCATAGACTTTAAGAACCCATTCGTGAAATTCTTTTCTTTGTGTGCTTTTAAGAGATCCAATTCTTCTCTCCCAATTTTCACCAAATTTCTGCATGCAAATTTTTTAACGAATAAATGCCATTATTTTATAAATAAAAACATTTAATTCAAATAAATTAATATAAAGAAAATATTGAAATATTTGCAGTACATTTAAACCTATCAATTTATCAAACACCATCCACACATTTCCAGTAGAAAATTTATTAAGTTGACAAATGTTTTCAGTTTATTTTGTAAGCTTGCACCAAGTCTACATAAAACTTTTAATTCTACATAAACATGTACTGTACACATAGCTTCTTAATGTTTCAATTTCAAATGTTACAAGTTTAAAAGTTATATGTAGACCTGATGCAGTCTTATGAAATAGGCTGACAATTACATTTTCTGCTGGAAATGTGTGAAAGGTGTTTTACTATTCAATAATTTAGAGCAGCTGTGCAAAGATAAACACACTCAGATAACAAGTGTTTTCAGACATTTCTAATGACCTTTTTCCAGTAGAATATGTAATGAAATGTCAAAAATCAAAATGGTAGTTTAGATAATAATATGTTATAATACAAATTCAAATTTTACCAACTGAATGTTAACATATCATAAAACAAACGTATAATTTTGAAAATATTCAAACATTCAAAAAAAGACTTCACATAAATAAAATGAAAGTAAAGTAAAGGAATACATAAAAATTAAATCATTAAAAATGAACCCTTATCTATTAAATCAAATAATGTAAACAGTCCATGCCATAATCGTAGCAAGGCTTTGTGTTATTTACATAGAGAGTATACAAAAAAGGAGTTGCCAATAGACTTTAATATATTAAGGAAAAGGCCAGGTGCCACTCAGAGGTATAACCTGGCATGGAAGGGGGAGAAAAGAAGGAACAAATGATGGGAAAATTAAATAAAGTGGGAAAAGTGAAAAAGGGGATGGGGATAAGGGGGGATGGTAGAGGAAAGGGGAAAGTGAGGGGAGAGAGTAATTTCACCCCACAACACAATAGTTTAGCAGAAACAATTACAATTACAGCAGACATACATATTACGGTAGTCATACAAGTACTTCAAACACATGTACAAATGCGGGCAATTACATTAGTATACGATAGGGGTCCCCAAAGTGGTCGATATTGACCCCTTGGGGTCGATAAGAGTTCTCCAGGGGTCGATTAATACACGAGGGTCGAAAGGGGGTCGATTTCAACCCTTTACCATCGCCATCTTGTTTACGTTTATATTGTAAACTGTCCAACGGCAATATAAGTCAGTCAGGTGATATTATTTTAAAAAATTCACCAAAAATCAAATTATCATTATGTTCACATGATAAAATCACGTACATTTATTAATATCTTTAGTTTAATAGTTTAGAATAATTATAATTCCTTCCAATTCTAAATACCTATTGTTAGCAAAAGGCGGTGTCGGGATGGAATCGTCTGGACATATGTTTCCCGCGCTTTTTCTCTTTTTCAAACGAGCAACGGTTGTCGCCATAGAAACTCGGATCGAGAAACGACCGTTAGTTTTGAAAGCAGGATAGATGATTGGCCGCCGAGCATCGGATCACCTGCGGACCGACCAGAGCGCTACGAAGCGCTGATTGGTCAATCAGCGCTATCTTCAATCCATATAAAAAGATAGAGTTTAGGCGGGAGAAATAAGTTCGCCTAAGGTCGGCTAAACAAAGTTATTGCTGCTGTTTTGTTGTGCTACAAATGTATTGTGTTTTTCATATTAAAAATCTGATTTTAATTTAATATCACAATGTCGGCTAACAATGCTAAGAAGAAATGCAGACAATATTCACAGGAGTATTTGAAATATGGTTTTGTGCCATCGTTTGCTAATGAAACTATTCCTATGTACTTATTATGTGAAAAAAACTTTCAGCAATGATGCTATGAAGCTGGCAAAAATGAAAGACCACTTGGAAAGGATCCATACTGACAAGAAAAACAAAGATTTTGAGTATTTCAAAATACTAAAAGAGAAATTGAGAGTTCGGCCAAATTTGAATACATACTTAAAGTCATCTGCTAGTGTTGATAAAGAAGGAGGAGTGAAGACATCCTACAGCATCTCTCTTAATATTTCAAAGAAAGGCAAACCGTATACTATTGGTGAAGAGATTATAATACCAGCTATAAAAGATGTAATTGAAAATGTTATGAAGAAAGACTCCCAACTAGTTTTAAAATGCATACCATTAAGTGCCAATACTGTGCAACGACGTATCGAGGAAATGGCCGATGATGTGGAAAGAACTTTGACCTCTGAGCTCCAGCATTGTAAGTTTGCTATTCAACTTGACGAATGAACTTTCGGAAGTTCAAATCTTCTCATTGCTTATGTTAGATTTCATAGCCCATCCCTGAATGGCATTGTTGATGAATTTCTATTTGCTAAATATCTTGAAACTGATTCAAAAGGTGAGACAATTTTTTTATGTTTGCAAGATTATTTGAACAAGCACAGCATTCCTTTCGGGAATATTACTGCAGTAGCTACTGATGGTGCACCTGCTATGGTAGGCCGTTACAGAGGATTTTTCGTCTTTCTGAAGAAAGGTTCCCAAAGTACATACTGTTCACTGTGTCCTACACAGGCAGCATTTTGTAGCCAAAAAACTGAGTGGCGAACTTCATGATACTCTAAAAGTGTGCATCAGGTCAATAAATAAAATTAAAGCTCATCCTCTCAATTCCAGACTGTTTGCGAAGTTATGTGAAGAAAATTATGACACTTTCAACCAATTACTTTTACACACCGAGGTAAGGTGGTTGTCAAGAGGTGATAGTTTGCAGGAGCTTGTTGACTTGTACGACTCAGCCGAAGAGTTTCTTAGAAATGTGGATCCATCACTATGTGACCAGTTAAAACAGTGCAAGAACCATATGTTCTATTTGGCAAACCTTTATTCTAAATTTAGTATAGTACAGAAGCGTTTGCAAGGAAAAAACGTTACAATTGTTCAAGCTCGAACGATCATAATGGCCTTTCAAGTAAAAATGGAGCTATTTAAATCTTCACTGGCACAATCCGATTTTAAATATTTTTCAAACTTGCGAATACTAAAAGAAAATGAAAAGATTTCCGACCGTGATTTGGAGATATATATTAAACATCTTGATAAATTAAGAGACGACTTTAAAGCACGTTTCGAAGACTTGGAGAATATGCATGTTCCCGAATGGTTTGCTAATCCATTTGATGTAAAAATAGAGAATGAAGGTAGTGAACCTGGCTTAGAAGATGAACTGATTGAAATATGTGTAGATCTCGAAGCTAAAGCGTTGTTTAAAAATAAAAACCTCAGTGAATTTTGGAACAATAACAATATTGCCACTAAATATCCCAAGCTCAGAGCAGAAGCCGAACCTTTGTTACTCGCATTCCCAACTTCATATATGGTTGAAGCTGGTTTTAGCCACGCGAACGCAATTTTGACAAAACAGAGGAACAGATTGAACTTGGAAAACCGCTGTGATTTGCGACTAAAACTTACCAATTTTCAACCGAATATCCATAATCTTGCTGCTACTCTTCAGACACATCCATCCCACTAATATCAACTATTTTAATAAAAAGGTATGTTAACATATTTTTAAGGTATTCAGTAGTAGTCGCAAAATGACAGTAAAAGGTTTTTTCATCCAATAAAACTTATGTTTTCAAAGATAATTGTGTATTTTACGTATTATGGCACGTACGGTTTAAGAATTATAGGTAAATTTCCATCTATCCATAATTTTTCTATTATTTTTTTAAGATTATAAATTAGTGAAAAATATCTCCTTTTTCTGTTAATGTTGGGTAAATTTTATAAGATATGGGAACTATAAATTTTTTGGTGGGTTGTTATGCAGGTCTCCTTATTGCTTAACATCAGAAACGCAAAAAATTATTTAATGTTTTGTAAAATACTTAATCTGGGGGTCGATAAGAAGGCAAATATTCTATAAAGGGGTCAATGGGATAAAAAGTTTGGGGACCCCTAGTATACAATGTACAATATTATGAAATACAATGAGTGGTATTGGAATGATATTAGCAATGTAGAAATTCAGTAGCAATACAATAACATTATACTATTTACAATTAAAACATATCATGAAAGTGCTTGAGAAAATAATATACAACTAGTAACTATGAGACACACTTTACTGTGGCAACAGGTTTATGGTTATCTCGTCGATGAATGGTTCAATGCTTGTTATGCTTAATGGTTGTTAAGAAGGTGTTGAGCCTTTCCTATGGATTGCTGGATCTCAGAAAGGCATAACCAGTTGTACCCTTTGTGGAGGATATGCCCCATTAAGGCAGTCTTCTCCAGGTCAAAGAAAGGACAGTCAAAGAGATAGTGATTGGTGACTTGTTGCAGGGGCAACTATCAGTGTTTCCGATACCAAACCTCTTCAAGTAGGCATTGAAATTGCCATGGTTGGTGATCAACTGAGTGCAGAGAAAATTCAACTTGAAATACCTCCATTTCATCCTTTCCTTGATGTCCGGGATGAACTGATATGTAGTCCTGCCTGTGGGACTGTGGTCCCATTCGGATTGCCAAGTCCTCATGGCAAGGTTACAGATTCAATGCCTAATAAAAGAAATAGGAATTTTCATGTATGAGTAAGGGAGGGAGGAAGTAGAAGCTGTTTTGGCAAGGTTGTCGACGACTTCATTGCCTTCCACTCCAGAGTGACCCCTAACCCAGAAGTTGATTATATGATTGTGAATGTTGATGGCAATCTTTTGGCACATCAGCAAAACCAGTTGGCTTCTGTTATCCATCTTGGGAACCAGTCTTCATATATATGACCTGGGGGTCGGCACCTCTTTAGTGCCTCATCAGGACTGACACCACATTATCCCGATTGACACAGAAGCCGAGATGGCATGTTGATTCAGTCAAGCAAGTGGCCATGTGCATGGGCGATTAGATCCAGAATGGAGATGGATTGAGAGACAGCGTATGGGAAGTGAATCACTCGGTTACCAAGTTAACAACTAATAATGATTTAATTACATAGACAACATGATATAATTTACAATTTTGTTACAGTTCATTAGGCCTTAACTTCAAGGGATCTTTAAACGAAAGTGGTCACGAGAGAGAAAGAGAGTTTACATAATATTCGCGTGGCAATAAATACCTTGGGATGATGATGTTCGAAAATAGTCTGATGCTCGATCTTGGGAGGTGTTCTTGATTGTTCTTTTCTTGATCGTGTAGTAATGTATCTTTGTCCCAAGATAGA